TCACTGTACAGCTTAATGTGGCAAGCAAATCTTGTTCTGAATTCAGTGGAAAAATGGTTACAAATTAGATATGTAATAATAATTGCAACTTCTTAAATTTGTCAATGACCACTATGTTGGTACAATTATTGTGGTTGATCATTTTATGCATGAATAACTTTAAAAATTTAAGTCTATACTTGATAACATAACATGCAGTGTATGTGAAATGTATGCATGCAATAAAGATGAATACCACTGAAATATGGCCCAGATATTTGTAATGATTATATTCAAGAATTTACATGCACCTTTAATTCATAATAATTATTCAGAATTTTAAATAACAATAACACAAAAACTTTGGTACTTATATCTATCACTGCACAAGTGAACTACACAATCAAAAGATATTACAAGTGTTCATTCAGTTAATTGGTATAATCTGTACTGTCAATACTAATCACTCAAGATCTCCAGCCTATGACATTATACTACTGAGTGATAACACTGTGCTGTATTTTTTTGTAAACTTCTGTTTAGACTGGTATAACAATTGATTATTATAGTCTACTAGATTATTATTAGTTTTGAACAAGTGGAAAATTAATTCAAGTTGATATTACAGACTTTATCAATACAATAAACTACGGCCTCACTGCACGGTATTATGACTCAACATATAGTAGATCTATCTCCATAGATAAAAATTATATTTGTCACTGAAGTTCTGTATGTTGTCTAGGCCATCATGGAGTTTGCTAGCATCATAAATACTGATGCTAGCATTGATATCTATGCTCTATAGGTCGGTCAGGTCCGTGGTCATTAACGCGGAGTCCGTACTTTAGTCTTTTCGGGTCCCTTGGTCGGGTCAATAAATTAGTTTGTATCGGGTCCGTCGCTCGGTCCGTAAATTAGTCTTTTCGGGTCCGTTGGTCTGGTCCGGTCCGCTTTTTAGGGACAACCATTTTTGTCCACTTTGGCGCTCCATACACGACACGTGTAGGATTAATGTTGGGATGAACGTCGAAGTGACCTGTTTAGTAGTTGATTCTGGTCCATTTATAAAAGGAGCGGCTCTACAGGACTGGTCCCGTACCAGACTGTATATACTATCAGAGATAAAGAACAGTGAGACCCGCCAGAGACTACAAGTATTACCCTATCAACTGATATTGAGGGAACCATCACAAGAATATATAAAACATGGTAACTGAGAGGAGATGATGCTTTATATTGTATATACAGCTGAATTACTTAATATTAGTCGTCCATACACATAATGATGTCTATCTGGGTACAGTATGGTGTATAGATTACTGGAAGTGAAAATTGTTTGTATAATTTTGCATAGGAAGATTATTAATTTTTACAGTTGTAAGGCGTGGTTTAGGATGAAATAAATTCCGGCCGCCATTTTGGTTGGCAACTTTCAATGGAGAACAAACGGGCCGACATAAAAACAAACCTGTATTAAGAATTCTGCAGAAAATTTGACCAAATCCTTTACAGGAGAAGCTTAGAGGCAGCTGTTCTTTCTTATAACAAGCACTTTTTAGCTATTGATAGAGCTAAAGCAGGTAAGTGAGGCATTTTCTTCGTGCCTCCATTGAATTCTATAACAAACTTGCCAACCAAAATGGCAGCCAATTATGATGTGTGGGCAGATATAAAATTAATGAAATTCATATCTTTTCCAATTTTCAGTTCCAGTGTTCTATAGCGGGAAATTTTGGAGGGACTTAAATTTGGCTAATTGCTAAATTTTGGTGATTGGCAAATTTTGGGCCACGTGCCATTGAGCATGCGTATAATGGCTCAAAATTGCAGGTTTTATTTGGCAAATGGCTATCAAAATGCCAAATTTAATTTCATCCAAAATTTCCTGCTATATGGTATTTGGTCTGATTTTGTAGAAAACTTTAAAATTTTGTAAAAGATTAATTTGAAACAGAATCAGCTCAAACTTTGTAAGCAACATAAGTGCATGTATACATGTACCATAAATCCTTAAATAGAAGCCGCATTCAAATAAACGCCGGGGTAGCAATACAATTTAACTATAAATACGCAACACTGGCCTAGAAATGACTCAGTAGTCTAGTGGATAATGCCTGAAGTTGCAGAAGTTAAAAGCATAAGGTCACAGGTTCCAACTCTGCTCTGGGCCTAAGTTTTTTTTTATTTTTTTAATGTATTTTTTGGAGGTCCAAATACCATTTTAGGAAATAGACGCCCAGGCTTTTATTTAAGGAAATACAATATGTATCAGAAAAATATATAAATAGAAAATTCTCTCTTTTAAAAATTCATAAAAAATCCAATTTTGATTGCAATCAGCTGAAACTTTCTACGCAACATAAGTAAATGTACACGTATATGTACAATATAAGAATTACTAGAAACAATGTAAAACATTAAAGGGCTCAGCCTTGTAGATTATTAGCTGGAAAAAAGCAGAATCTCTACCTTATGTTGCTGCTAGAAAACTCCTGACTTGTTTTTTTACTTTAAGCCTTGCTACACTGACTCCATAAGATATAAAAAGGCTGGCCAGTTTAGTGCAGTCAGTGACAAGGTGACATTTGTTTGATTTTCAGTTTATCTCAACAAAAACAAATTTCATAGTTACTTAATTGCACCTGTAACCTTTTCAAGCAGTTGGAGAAGTCTTTGGACGGTGTTTTTGCCTTATCTTGTTGCTAGGAAGTAGGAAACTCATGACTTCTGATTCCCGTGTGCTGATCACCATTTTATTTTCTTTCAGCCACTCCCACTTTCAATGAAATATTGAAATTTAGAATTTATTGCATTGCAGATATACCGTATTAACGGGTTATTAAGCTTAGGCACTTATGCAGAAAATGACAGAAAAATGGGCGTTTAATAATGACTCAGCGCTTAATAAAAACAGTAGGTGTGGTTTACAATAATAATTAATTAATCACTTTACTGGCTTTACAATGGCGGGTGGTAAAGAATACTCTTTTGACAGTCTGGTTCGTGGCCACAATGCTTATAAAAAGTGTCTGGACTCCTACTGTTTTGTACTGCGCTTAACAAACCCATGCTAAGAGCTACATTGAGCTAGGTGCCTAATGAGAACTAGGCGCTTAACAACAAAGGGCGCTTAATAACCCGTTAGTACGGTATAGAGGAGATATGGAATACGTACATGTACATACTGTACATACAGACAGACAAACAAACTTTACTCATCTTAGTGGGCTTCGCCCAATTAAAATGGAGAATTCCCTCCTTTTCATTTTTGGCAAAATTTGGCCAATGACCCTGTATTACATATATATACACATGCAGTAAAGGGACTTTAGACCAATTTCGGAGCAAAATTCTTGAAGTTTCTAAATAACATTAGTTCATTATGTATACAAGAATACATTGTACATTGTAAATGAATATTTAGCCACCTACCATAAACTTTTATTATGTTCACATTTGCCTTCCCTCCCTCTCTCCCAGATCTCCTCCAGAAACTGATTTCTCTAAGAAGACTGGTGATTATCAAAGTCTATCAGCTGTTGATCTTCGACTGATTGCACTCACTTACCAGCTGGAGAAGGAGAGAGGACCTCAAAGAGGAACCAATTTAAGAACTGACCCAATACAAACCAACAAAGAACAACAAGTAAATAAATAAATAGTTGAAACTCATAAATTACATGTACATGTAATTTCTTATCAATGTACATGTACATGTACATACACATACTTGTAATAAAAGGTTAAGGAACCTTTTATAAATCAGTCATTTATAACCATTATGTGCATTGAACTATCGATAATTCATTAAATAAAGATTTCCAGTCATTTATCAATAATTGTTGCTGACTTACGTGCCATTAATATTATTAATATATTAATAATAATAATTATTATTATTATATTTATTATTTTTAGAGGATACCTTATTCTACAGCTGGTTTCTACACTGGAAAGAAGCCACAGAAGGTAAGACTATACAAGAAATAATTATTGGCAATTCTTCAGATGTTCTTGTCACTCAAATACTTACACATGTACATGTACAATGTGTAGCTTAAAATGTGATTCTAAAACATTTTATTTTACATTTACTTTTGAGTTGCAACCATTTTTTAAAAGTAGCAGGTTTTTGGTAAAAAGTAAAGACTATATATAGTCTATGGTTTTTTCAGAAAATGGCTCCAAAATCACCCCCAGATTGTTATTGTTTATTTATTAAATATTATTTTGTGAAATCTTACAAATGCAAAATTCACGAAAATTTAGCGACGCGAAAATATCCCAGTATGCAGTATGTATTCACTAGTACAGTGTGTGTGTATTAATTACTGTGGTTTATTAGAGGGGCTTACTCTATGCAGTATTATGAGCATACATGTACATGTACATTTGGTTGATGTATTCATGTATACATTTGGTGTAAAAATATTCATGTACATCACCTACGTCTGTAATGAATTTATATACTGTATAGTAGGAAATTTTGGAAGGAATTAATTTTGTGAATTTGGCATTTTGATGGTAATTAATTTTTAATAAGACTACTATCAATTTTTTATCCCTCCTACATGCACATGTACTTGCATTTCTTTTTTCTCTCCCTCTATTCTTACTTCTCCCTCCCCCCCCCTCTCTTTTCTCAGAATGTCCTATTACAGATTGGTCTTAATGTAGTCTCCATTGATGGAATGTTAATCAAGAGAATAAGAACCTACGCTCAACAATGCAAGGCCTGCTTCAAGTAAGCCAAGAAAAGATACACAATTACACATAATAATTAGAGATTTACCAATTTGGGTTTTAGCCGATATTCCCATAGCTGATATTAACATACATGTAGCTAATACTGGCCGATACCCATCCAATATTTCCCTTCCTACCTTTTAAGCACAGATTTACACACGTACAATGTGATTTATACATGTACACTACCGAATGTAGTGTCTTGACTAATTTGCAAGTAGTTCAAGTCATGTATTCATTCCATGCTTACATGTATGTATATGTACATATGAGACTGTATTTTAGAGTTGAGTGTTTTCCTATTATTTAACTGTGCATATATTCAATCCTTCATACTAATATATACACAATATATATACATTGTATTTACTAATATATACATTGATCCCCTTACATCTTCATCTCCTTATCCTTCATCTGCTCATGCGCAATATTAATTCTCGTGCTTAATTTTCAAAAATGATCATCATAATAATGACTTGCACTACAAAAATAAGACACTACAATATTGATAGCAAACAAACTAATGCAGCAACTATAATTATATAATAGTCAAACTGTCCGTTTACTGGACGGTAGCAATCTTTGCATTCACAGGAATATTTTTAGCATCTAGACCAGGTTTCTTCTGACCATGAAGATCAAAGGTAATATTGACATCTTTACGGAACACAAGGCAATGTGTGGATCCACCAAAGTGAAACATCCCTATCTGTTGGCCTTTCTGTATGTGATCCC